AAAAAAAAAAAAAAAAAAAAAAAAAAACGCCGAAAAGACATCGTTTTACTGCTTTTTTTTCTTGCGAAAATAGAGAAAACTTCCTGCAAACCCACCCGGTTCCCTCTTCCGCTTCCCCGGAGAAAAGCGCTCGCCCGCGTATGCGGCTCACAGCACCCCAACCTTGCTTCCACCACCAACATAACCACGCTTTCTTCCTCCCAGCAGCCTGCACATTCACTCACTCACGCACGCACATATAATGACTATAATAGCCAATGCGGTTGAATTGCTAAAAGACTGACAATACATGAAAATAAAAGAAAGAAGCCCGCGCAAAGTGACCAATGTCCCCCGAGCCCACTCTCCCCCCTGAAAACAGTTATGCACGTTGAAGTATTCGCAAAGTAACAAGTGTCTCCCAAACTCCCCAGATCCCTCCCATAGAGCAAAATTGATGATGAAAAGAAGAATGCCGTACGAAAATAGAAAGAAAAAAAATTAATCGCACACGTTCCATAGCAAGGAATCACCAAACCAATGGAAGCCACGTCCCCTCTTCTCTCACCCCCTTGTTATTGTCGCTGCTCCCTCTCCTCTCATCGCGTGTATTTGAGAGCAAAGGCCTGATGAATGCTCCCGGTCCCTTATCCATGCCTAGAATTACTCACACCGTCTGCACTGCAGACATATTCGCATCTCATCCTGATTCTTCCTTTCCTTCTTCTTTCTTTCTTTTGGTGCGATACCGGCCGAACCCAACCCTCGGTCAGGCTCTGTTGCAACAACTCTCACATCACTCCTCAACAAGCTTTATCGTCGGCTTGGCAACTTGCTTAGGCTTGCCACTGAGCCGACGATTGGCCGTCTTTGGCGTCACTTTCCCCTTTGGCGTCGTTTTGCCCTTCGTAGTGTTGCTGACACTAGATCTTCGACCGTTGGGCGTGCCCTTTGGTGTACTCTTACGATTCGCGCGAGGCGTACCCTTGGCTGAGGCCCGGCCAGGAGACGTCTTCTTGGCAGCGTTCTCGGCGAGGAGGGCTAACGTGGTCGGGCTGCCCGGGCGAATTCGGCCGGAAAGGATTGTCGCGCGCTTTTTCGACCCATCTAGCTGCTTCCTCGGGGCCGGGCCAGACATGCGCTTCACGGTGATTTTGCGCTTCAGGGAAACAACAGGCTTCGCCGCAGCAGTCGCAGCTCCCTTGGCCGCCTTTAAGCTCGCACTCGACAGGGAGGCCTTGATACCGCTGGCCGGCTGAAGTTTGCGCTTCTTCGACTTGTTCTTGTCAGACGTCTCATCTCCTAGCATTTCCTTGAGCTTGCGCTTTCCCGCATTGATGGTACCCTTAACGACCTTTGTCAGTCCAGCTTTGACGGCCTTCGGCTCGCGCGGGCGAGGGCCGAGTACACCGCGGCAGTTTTCGGAGCCGCAGAGACACTTTTGGACGTTCTTAGCGGAAAACGGGTCAAAGTTGTAGTCGTATGTCAATTCGTCTCCGGTCATGATGGGCTTGTCCCCCGCGAACAGGGCCATCCTCGGCTGCCCGGAGACAATCCATTTGATCATGCGGCAGTTCGGGTTGCAACTGTGGTTGACGAATCTGGCAATGCTGCCCGTGGTGGCGTCAATAATCATGTTTTGGTCAAAGCTCATCAAATAGTAGCACTAGGGCTTGTGTTAGCACACAATGTCAAGGCCAGACCCAAGCAGGCAAGCTGAGTTTACCTCGTTATTCTTGTACTCGTTCTTCATGCGACGATCACATTCTTCTTCCGTGATAATCTCACCAGTATATTCCATGATGATCTGGTGAGGTTGAAAGCAGCGGTTACTTCGCACTCCGTAGCCACGATCTGACGTCTTGATGACTTCAACGCCGACGCGGTACTTGCCTCCCTTGGCACGTCGTGCGGTAAGCGTGGCAAATGCTCTGTTGGTACATGTTTCCTTCCCAGCATTACAGTTGATGTCGTTACATTCGTAAAGCATAATTCGGTTCTGGCAGTTGTCGCCGCATCCGTCTTCGGGTTTGCAGACGCACTTAGAGTAATCTGTGTAGTGCGGCGATTTGCGCCAGTAGTCCTTGGAGTTACCAATGAAACGATCTATGTCCGGTTAGCAAAACAATATGTTGCAAGAGAGTCCGGCGGGGGTGTTAGTCTCACTCTTGGTCATCTTTTTCCACTCGTCGGGCTTGGGCTGGCCAGGAGGCAACGGATTGCAAACGTGGAATGGTAGCTTAAAGTCGCGGCCTTGGATAAGCAAACGCATACCCATGTACATGGGCGCCGGCATGAAAACGTTGACACTTTTCTTGAAGTCGAGTTCTGTGAGACTGTCGAGCTTCTTGCGCTCAGCAGGCGTCAGATGCGACTCGGACAACGTGGGCCTCGTTTGACCGGCATATAGACCCATTGGCAGGAACTTTTTCGGCCCACGCGGCTTCACTTTGGTGACAGGCTCCTCTTCCTCCTCCTCTTCTGGGTCGGGCTGAGCCTTGTTCTGGTTTTGAGGTGGAGAGGGGGGCGGCGCATTGGGATCGACATACTTGCCATTGGCCCAAACAGTATGAATGACGGGACGGTCGTCAATATGGGAAAACTCATTGGTGTCACGAAGCCGCAAAAGCTCGCGAGACAGCCGACTCATCGAGCCAGCGACGGCATTGCCTCCGCGCTTACCAATCTTGGACAGGCGAGATCCTAGGGACGATACAGCAGCGCCAACGCCGGCACCGGTGAGACGGCGCGAGCGAGCTGCCTCTTGGGCAAGGCGACGAGTGGCGCGTGGCGAGTTAGAGTGGGCAGCCGATGCCCCGAGGTCGAGCGCGTCAATTGCGGCTTTTGACTTTGCGCGGGTCGACATGGAGCTGCGAGTTGACATGGAATCATTGAGAAGCGTGTCGCCGGAAAATGTGCGACGTCGGCGGTCGGCGACATCGTCGCCATTGGCGCGGCGCTTTCCATGGCCATCGGTGCCACTCAGTCTGGAGAGGTTGTAGACGGGCGCAGCGGCGCAGGAGCGGCGTGCTCGCTTGGGCGAGGGCTCAGCCGCCGCAGCGACGGGCTCAAGAGCTTGCTCGGCGACAGGCTCAGAAGCTGGCTCGGCGACGGGCTCAGAAGCTCGCTCGGTGATCGGCTCGGGAGATGGCTCGGTGATGGGTTTGGCGGTAGCTTCGGGCTGAGGCGTGGTTTCGAGTTTCACGACAAGCTCGGTTGCCACTTGGGAGTCGGGCTGCGTGGGAGCAACTGGAGGCTCAGTGATGAAGGCAATGTCATGCTTGAAGGCGTCGGAATGCAGGCTGTCACTGTCGGCGGCGGTGGTGGGAGGCGTGGAGCTGGACGACGCGAGATTGGACGCTGCGTCGACGACACTGCTCGCGACGCTCGACTCTGATTCGAGAAGGAGCGGTAACATGGCGAGAGGCTGTGGAAAGGGAAGGAAAATAGTGTCGGGAAAAGATGGGCGTGCGTTGTCGTATGAGTGCGCGTGCTCGCGGGGGCCACGGGCGCGACAAGAAGCGTAGTAAACGGGCGAAGCACGACTAGGAACCGCGTCGCATAGAACACGTCGTACTTTTAAGGACGGAGGATGGCTGCGCAAAATGTTCCGTTGTATATAAGGACAATGAAGACGAACAAAAAAAAACGACGAGATGAAAAAGTGGACGACAGCGAGAGGGAAAGGAAGAATTGTGCAGCCACCAACCAAGTGACGGTTTGAGGGAAAGGAAAAGGGAGAGTTGGCGCTGCGCGTGAAGCGGCGAGATGAGGCGAGGCCAGACGATGGGGCGAGACAGACTGCGGTATGGGATATGCTGATTGGCGTCGCAGCGGCACCAACTACCGCAATGCAATCCAAGACAAGTGCAAAAGGACGAAGGAAGGAAAATGGCACTAGGGAAATCCGTAACAGAGCTTTTGATTAGCGGACAAGGGCCTTTTTGGCGGGTTGTGGCACGCGCCGCCTTCCTATTAGTCCCTTTCCTTGCCGTTTGTTGACGCTGGAAGCTGGACAATGTTGTACATACAGGAAGCTAGCGGCGGGAAGCTCACAGGCCGTGAGAGAAGCTGACTCGATGACCGCCCGGAGACGCGATTATTTTGCTCCCTTTCGTTTTGGCGCTGGAGGGGGGGGGGGGGGCGGGCTGGTTCAGCTCTCTCCGCGCGTCGACGCGTGGTGGAGATGGGGGAGATGGAGATGATGGATGTCGATGCCAACTCGACCATCAACGCATGAAGTAGGGGAAGAGGGGGGAAAAAGAAACAAAGTGAGGAGGAGGCGATGCTTCTGTCTCCAATAGCTGACTTGTTTGATGACTTTATCGCGCAAAAGGTCTTGTCGGGATGCCCTTGCCTCCAAGCGCCACGACGTTGAGTGGTTCAAGAATGGCAACAGGCAAATGTAGGAGACAAGAGAGAGAGCCAGCAGACCAGACACGCACAAGGCACCCCCAAAAAAAGGGAGCGGGCGACTGGCTTATTTATTACCTTGTTCGGCCATCACGTTATTCCTTTTCGTGTTCCATACCTCGTACTCTTTATTGGCTCTCTTTTTTTTCCCAACTGTTGCCTTTCGGCAACAAACATAACAAGGCCCAGCCTTGAACCAAGCCTGAACCTGATCTTCCCGTTCCTAGACCATAGTACAGCTCAGGCCGCGTCTCGCAGGCCGCTCCGGGGAAGCCGTTTTCTCGTCTCATCATGACTTCCTGTCTAGCCACCATGTTTGCCTCTAAGATCAAACTACATGACCATTGGCTCGCACCTAATACGCTGATGATCCTCGTCGACTTGCCGAATTCGGCACTTGAACCAGCTTGTATATCAACACAACCATGTCGGCCAATATCAGACGTATTATGCTTGACACTTTTTATTCTCAGGCTAATTCAGCTCGATGCACTTATTTTCTGGCGTTCTACCCCGTCCTGTTTGTAGTTGTCGTGATGAGGCTCTCACCAGCCATATCCACCGCTCATCAAACCGACCAGCTCACCTGGAACTCAAACGCTGTGCGCCGCCTGCGCCCTTAATAGTGCCAATTTTGATTCCACGGCGTTGTGCGAAACCTTGAGAAATTGCTCGGCCTGCAAAAATATCCATGAGGCCTTTTTATGCTGTGGCTTTGCTAGTTACAGCCGCTGACACAGCTCCATCAACAACAATCACCGTCACCTTGACACTCGCTCAAAAATCGGCTTCAACGGAGTAATAAACAGTTGCAATTCGCTCTGAGGCCAGTTTGCAGCTATTACAGCTGATGGTGTGTGGTTATGCCGTTATCCGCAAATTTCGCCTCGTCGCATATGTTTCTCTATGATGACTCGCGCCCGGTTACCCAGCTAGACGGGGACTCCGCCCACGACAGTGCAGAAGAACGCGAGACTCGAGAAAATGGCGCTCTTCCGACGGAATTCTACATAACATCATCCAAATGGCGCCATGATTCCCTATGCAACTTACCGCCGGGACCCTCGGCGCAACTCGGGACGGCGGCATCACGTCGGACAGCCCAGCGGCACCAAGGCGCTTGCGACTAACTCATTACCTGGCAGGCTTCTGGCCGCCGCCGCGAGTCCCGGCAGAATCCGTGTCACCACATTTGCATCTTTCGTGATAAGACGCGCTAATACCCTACAACGGAGGTCCTCTTAAGTCCCAGAGCGCCGTATTTAGCTGGCCCTCGATAGAACAACCGCACTGTCGGCCACGGATTTACATGTGCACGCGATGTATGCCGCAGAGACATCACGGCTCATCCCAGCCAGACCTTTCCTTTTTGAACTATTCAACGTGTCCATAAACTACAGAAAAGGTCTAGATAATTCCAATAATTGCAGCCGCAATCTGTTGGTGCCAGTTAACCACCGACGGATCATTCTGTGCTATCACCCAGGCCTCTTCCATCTACCCACTTCCTCTACAAAATTCAAGACGATGCCATCTACTTCAGACGCGTGATGCGTTCCTTATCCCACATCATGGAACCAAGTCAAAATTGCTCCCAAGAAGCCTCATCAAACAAATCCATGATTGTCAAGGTTAATGGTCACCATCCCTCAAGCCAACGGAGGGTGCCGAAGATACTTATACAAGATGATTTAGATTACCAATTACCCCAATTAGCTCAACTACAACTATTTCGCAGATTGAAAATCTTATGGTACTTTGTTGCCCAATTCAAAGGGTGTCGCGTCTTAGCCGTACCTGCGGGATCGTGCCGATGGCCGCGGCCAACAATAATCCTGTTTATCGACGAGACAGATAAGCTTCTTCCGTGGCCGCCCACCGTGAAGAATTCCCACCGCACTTTAGAGGTTCTCCGACTATATTGTCATTGCCTAATTTATCGCCATCTCTGTTTGGGAGACGCGCCGATGCCGAGATCCCACGATCGCATTTGAGCTCTCCTGGATGTCCCGGATACGAGACAATCCAAAAAAAGAAGATCACGCATGACTACCCTAGCATCTCGAGATAGTAGATCCAGAAAATTTGCTCGTGTTATTATGTATAACAGGTATGTCATTAAGGCCAAGGTTGAAAGAGACTAGAAGCCCCCAAAGGCTCCTGGGCCGGTATTCTAGAAATCATCTCTCGAGTCCTAGTTCTGACCGGAATCCCCAGCACAACCTGAGAAATAGAAACAAACACCAGTTCACATCCGTCACTTGCCGGGATGCATGGCTGTTGCAAGATACTACATCGAGGCGTACGTCAGGCGATATGGTGACATGTTCCAGCCAGTGGATGGTCTCGCTACCCGCAAGTTTAACGCCCTGCTGAGGGTAGCCTACAAAATCTCAATCCGAGCAACCCCGATTGGCCGCCTCGCCTGAATTAATGGACAGCACCCTGCTCCGGACGCAATCTGCATCAGGCTGCCAGTCTCTCAGCGCGGTTCGAGAAACGACCGCGGAGCGCACTGGAGGGCTTCCATCTGTATTCTAGAGACGAACTGGAATCGCTAGAAAACTACCTAGTGAACGGGGGTTATCTGTACTCGTAATGATCAGACTTAGGAATTTTTAGTACCTAGATGTACATATGCAGGGCGCTGCATGCCGGAGTTCTACGGGTGAGCGCTGTGGCAGGGCTGTCCACAGGCTGAAACACGGCATAACTCCCAGCCACTGGCGAGTACTGGGTAGGTAATTTGAAGCGGATATACGGGTATTATTGCAAATCACACGAAATCGTGCGACATCTCAAGATATTCTAGTCTAGGTATCATTTGTATTTCGCTCATCTTCCTCGACATTCTCTGGGATATTTCTCCATGGTTCTCACTTCAAAATTAAGCAACAGTCTTTTCAGGAACAGGTCCGGCGGTAGCCTCGGGGGCCACGGCAGCGGCTGGTGCAGTCTCCTCAACCTTATCGGCAACAGCCTCCGTCTTGTCGGCAGGCTCAGCCACGGGCTTGTCCTCGGCTGCGGCTGCAGGAGCCGGCTCGGGTGCAGCCGTAGGAGCAGCCTCAGGAGCCGGTGCAGGAGCTGCCGCGGGAGCCGGTGCAGGAGCCTCAGCCGCAGGAGTTGGCTCCTCAGCCTTGACGGGCTCGGTCTTGTCGGTGGCTGGGGCAGTCTCAACGAGGGCGAGCTGCTGGCCGGCCTCCTTGACGCTAGGGCCCTTACCGCCGTACTCGCTGGGCAGCGTGGCGGCGATCTTGGGGAGCTCTGCGGCAAGGGAGGTACCCGAGGTCATCGGGTGGAACTTGCGCAGGGTGGCCGGGGCGAGGAAGAGCTTCATAGCGCCAAACATCCAGCCCATGATGAAGGGCACGTTGACAAAGTACTTGTGCGCGAGCAGCTCGGGATAGGCCATGGAGAAGGTCTGGATGGTCTCCTTGCTGGCGGCCTTGACGGCAGGGTCCATACGGAAGAAGCTGACGTTGAGATAGTCGTGTGTCTGGATCATCTGGTAGGGGTCCTCGCCGCCCTCGGGGATGAGCTCCTTGACCTCGTTGAGCTTGAGCCTCTGAACGCTCAGCTCCATAAGACCGGCGCGCCACTTGATGAACCTAGGAGGCTGATGTTAGCGGTTGCTGCGCTGGTGCAACGCGAACACGCGCAGAGACTTACTCTTCAACATTGCCAAAAGTGGCCTTGTTGTCCTTGACGGCACCGTAAATGTTCCAGGTAATGACCGTCTCCTTGCCCGCGTCGTCCTTGTGGACCGTGACGTAGCCCAGGTCGGCAAACTTGCTCCTGTCAAACTGCTGGTCGACGAGCTTGGCGGGCTGCATCGTCTTGCGCCACTCAAGCGCCGACGTGAGCTGCTTCTCTGCGGCCGCCACGTCGCTGCCGTTGGCGCGCAGAAACTTTTGCAGGACGACCTGGCTGGGGATATTTTCGGGCGAGCTGTCAAGCTCGACACCCCACATCTCCTTGTAGTCGGCCTTGGTGATGACTTCGGCGAGGCGGGCCGTGAGCTTGGCGAGAGGCGACTTGGGCGCCTCGGCCGTGGTGGTCGTGGTCACCGCGGGAGGGGCTTCAACAGGGGCTTCAACAGGGGCTTCAGCAGACATCTTCGCTGGGTATCGGATGGAATCGACTGTCGAAAAAGAGAAACAGAAGCGCTTGAGAATCGAGAATGGTGATACTCCGAGCAAGTCCGAGTGGAAGGGGGAAAGGAAATAAAACACAGAGGGAGCTCTTTGGAGAAATTGGTGTTAAAGACAGCTACAGTGGAGCCGGGGCTGTCGCTGTGACTATTATCTGATGAACAAGCGGTGGGTTGGCTTGAAAACGTGCGGTTGGAAGGAAACAATCAGGCCAGTCCTTGGTGCAGGCTCAACAATAACTAACTAGCAGGAGATGGAAAGGTTTGGAAAGAAATTTTGCATCGCAAACAAGGGACGAATCGCAAACGTTTCAGGGCGTGCAGGCGAATAGACGACGACTGGCTGCAGCGGTGCCACGCACGTTGCTTGTTGAGCAATCTGGGCTGGTGGGCTGGTGCCTGAGGTACATGGTGGGTACCTACCGAAATAAACAACGGGCAGTGGGTCCGGCAGCAGCCTGAAGTGGTGCTGGGCAGAAGCCACACCCTACAGCGGTCGACTTGGCCCGAGCTTTTCAGAGCTCCAGTGGAGTTCTTCAGTGGACTGCATGCTTTACCCCACGCTAGAGCAGGCTACCTTCAGGTACAAGACCCATTTCTTCAGTCCGATATTTGCAATGGCTCTAGCAAATCTCCCAACTGGCGCGGCCCGCCCCAATTAAAAAAGGGCTTGAACTTGCTCCCGCATCATCTCATCCAATGCCAATTCATTGATATCGCCCATGATGAATCTGATATTGTTGTTGCTTTTTTGTCGATTCTGCCGTGCTTCCGTCGGGCAAGATCTGGCTCCATGCGGTACTGGATAGATTGAATGTGGCTGGGCTTCAAACACACCGCACCCGCCGTTTGCCATTGACGAGGCCCCTGACAATTCATCGAAAGTTGGGGTTTCCCGCTAGATAACCCACGAATTACCTACCAGTACCTTCTTACGTTAGGTGGGTAATATCGAGCAGCATATGCGCCACCACTGTCGACGAAACAAGGCAGCTTGTGACCGAGACGAAAGTTCGCAGTCCGGCGTTCGTGCTTTAGCCAACTTGACACCCATCCAAACGATGCACGGCCTTGCAGAAGATCACTGAACCCATTCATCCATAGCATTCTATATCTTTATTTCTTCTGTCCACCTTTTCCCTCTCCCTTGGCCATTCCGCACTACTGCTCTGTTGTAGTGCAGTGCCGCTGGACTGAGCTACTGCATAAGCCTGCTAAGACCAACATAGGTGCGGAGTAACGAAAGGCAAATGGAGGCCAGGATATCGATGCCACTTGGGTTACGACAAAACCCTCCAGTATGATGAATTTGCTTTTCCTGTCACAAATATCCTGGCGTTCCCCGCACCGACACTCTGAGAACCGTCAGCGGTCCGTCTCACAAACTTGGCTTTATACAGGAAAGCATTCAATGAAGTATCTGTGCATAACCAGTGCCATCTCTGAATTTGAACTACAACTGCTAAGCTGAGTGACTAGTCTTGTTCCTAGCCCTTTAGGTAACCCTAGCGACAGATGTACAAGTCGCTGAACCAATAAGCTAAGTGAAGTTGGTAAGAAGTACAATGAAGATTGAAGAAGTGTCAACGCAAAATCTCAGCCTAGCTCGTATTTCCCCTTGTTCCCAGGTCGCCAGAGTCTCCATGTCAAATGTCCAGCCAAGTAATAGCCCCGGGAAATCAACGTGTTTAATAGTTCCCAAAAACACCTACTTCAAAAATAATCCATCGAAAAAAGAGTGCTCCTCCATGATGAGCGAACAGCGAACTATGTAGAAGAAAAGAAACAAGGCCACTTTGAACAGCCATATGTGTGTCTTCAAGTGTCAAGTGTCAACAAAAGAAAATCACATAGAACCGAAAGCGCGAGCAAGAATAGTCTCAACAACTCCAAACTCGACTTGGGCAACGTGCGCCAGAGTCATGGTGTCGAACTCGGCGCCTTCAGGGTAATTGAGCTCGTTCCAGAAGTAGCCCCAGTATCCGTCAGTGGACTGGGCCTTCTCCTGAACAGCGCGACGGTCGCCGTGGGGCAGCGCAAACACGTCACGCATCGTCCGATCGCGAATCGCAGCAATGTACCACTGAAGACATGCTGTGTTAGCTATGCACTGCGACAGTGTGTGGCGGTGGAGGGCAGGATTGCGAAAATTTACCTCAACAACGTCCAGTGGCATACCGAGCTTGGGCACCAGGGCGTACTGATGGCGCCAGCTGCTCGCGAACCGAGGCTGGCCGTAGGCGCGCTGCTCGTCCTCGGACATGCCGACGATCCAGACGATGTCGTCCTTCATCAAGGCCGTGAAGCCGGGACACTCCATGGCAGCCTTCGCCACGCGGCGCAGCAGCTGGTTGCTGAGGTTCACGGGGTCATCGCCCTTGTCGAGGCTCTTGAGAAGCAGTCGCAGCAGATCGCAGGTCGCCTGGAACATCGCACCCCGCTGGGCGACCGTGATGCACGCCGTCATGTACCAGGGAAACTTGCGCAGGGTGCTGATAAGGCATTCGTAGGGGCGCTGAGGGCACTCCTTGGAAAAAGGGGACTGAGGGAGAAGGAAAAGAGGAGGGGGAATTGAGTCAGTGGGGAGAAGCAGGGAAAAGAGAACGTCGATGCCAGGTGATGGGGAGGGAACTTACTCGATGGGGAACTTCCACATGCTTCACAAGCATGACCATCTCCTCAGCGGAGATGAAGCCTTTGAAGTTAGCCCACGGCTCATTGGGCTTATGCGGCTGGATCTCGGGCGTAACCCCCTTCCAGACGACACCAGCCGCGACAGGGAAAAGGTCCTTCATCAGATTTGCCTGGCTGGAGAGCTGCAAGTCCACAGGGCGATCTCCTAGACGTGTCGGCCTACCAGAGAGCTGGTTCTGCGCATGCTTCTCTACCGCGCGCATGGCATCCTCTAGCGTCATGAACTCGACGTAGGCGTCCATTGTCTTGCTCGTGACCTTTTCCATGATAATATGGACTGGCTCGTCGGCGTCATTCAAGATCTTGGAGTTACGTCCGAGAAAGGCAATTACCTCAGAACGCTTGGTGGCAAAGGGGATCTTTACCAGTCAGTTAGCATGTGGGAAGGTGGAGGGTGGTTTTCTTTTTGGGATCGCTCTCTGGGGTACGTACGTTACCAAGACGAACGACACCGTGATTCTTGGCCGTAGCCTGCTTGGCCGCTTCAACAAACGGCATGTTGCTAGGGTCGAGAACAGCAGCGAGCATGGCGTCGCCCCAGGCCGGGTTCGTGAGCGCCTTGAGTTTGTCGGACCTTCCATCGTACACCTCGACCGGCGGCTGGTACACTGTCAGGGCCTGAGGGGCAGGCAGAACCTGCTGGACCATAGCGCCGAGCTGGTGATCAAACGCCTCTGGGGGCGGCAGCACTTCCCACTCATGCTGGGATACTGTTGGCAGTTCCAGGTTGAACTTGGGCGGCGGCTCGCTGCGCATGGGACGGCCAGAGGTACGCGGCGCGTAGTTTCTGGGCTCCGTCATGCGTCCAGAGGTTGGCATCGGGCTGGTGATGCTGCTTTTGCCGCGAACATGGTGGTGGCGATGCGAGGATGATGGGGAAGTGATGAATGTGTAGCTGGGGAACGCATAATCACCGCTGCGAGGCTCTTCGCCCTGGCCCTTGGCCGGAGTACCATTCTATGGCGTTCCGACCGAAGAGACAGAGCCTTGAGCAATAGCCTGGGACAGGAGCTCGTGTGCAAGATCATCGCTACAGGTGAAGCTGGATGACAAATCAGACTCTGCCGGAGCAGCGTTGGTGGTCTTTCAACACAGTCAGCGTTGCGGAGAGGGGAGTGTTTTGGGCAAATCTACCTTAGAGGGCGCGGGAGAAAATTCTCCCCAGCCTGGGGGCATCCAGACCGCGGACTCGGGGTTCAGCTTGCTCTGCATCACAACAGCTGAAGAGGCAGAGTTGACACGCGAGAGCATGGCCGAGGATGCGCAGGAAGAGTTGGAATCGGGCGGCGAGGGGAGCGAGGGGTCGAAGCTAATCTTGGAGATGTCCGAGCCGGGAGTAAAGAGCTTCAGCAGCGATTGGCTTTGAGTCGCCATTTTGAAGCGCTGGTATAGTAGTCAGCAACTGGTCAAACACGATAGAGAGGAAGCAGAGCTTCGGGACTTACATGGCACAGCAAGGCTCGTGGTGGATGATGATGGTGAGGAAAGTGAAGCAGGTTAACGGTGCAAGCCGCCGGGGTCTGAAGAGAGAAGTGAAACGAAGAGTGGGAGATAAAGTAGTTGAAGACAAGGTGCAGTCGCCGTAGCAAACGCGGCCTTGAAGATCGATTGGCTTGGCGTCAATTCAAGCCACCCGATAGGGATGAGAGGTTTATCGTTGAGAAGGTGAAGGAGGGAGAAAAGAAGCTCGAAGAAAGGAATGTTCTTATATATAAGCCTGTGTGATGTGTTGGTGGCGTGATGGCCAGCTGGCGCCGTTGACTGAGGTGCATGGTGTGAAGTCTGCCTCCGTTTGCTAGTGATGTGAAGAAAACGGCCGACATCGCCATCTCAAGTCAGAACGTGGCGGGTCCCAGCGGCCCGGCCTATTGTAAAGAAAAGTCAATACGACTCGTTTCACTTTGAGCTTTTAACTCATCAGATTTGTGACTCCCGAGATTGCAGGCCATTGGTAACTGGAAATTGTGTCATTTGCTACGTAATTCGTAGCTTTCTGCGTCTACACTGATATGGGCTGACCCAGCCCCCTTATATTCACGACTCGACTGTCCAATTTTCCTACATTGAATTTGATTTTTTGTCGCTTCAGTTAAACTGCGGATAATTAGCATAATTCCTCAACCTCTCAGAATTTACGTACCGGTGTTAGGAAAGACTCTGCCACGAAACGCGCTCTGGCGTTCAACTGCCAATTGTTAGCCCGCCAGTTAATGTTTGGCCACATAGTACATACAAAGAGCTTCATCTCGGAGATCTCCTTGTCGACATCCTCCATGAATTGAATGATAAAGTCGACAAGCTTGTGCTTGAGCATCTCGTCCGTGTGGAAGTTTGTTATTAAGAAAGAAATATCGTAACCCTGTAGCCTTGTTAGCCAACAGCCCAGCTCCCGCCGGGAAGGCCGGCCAGCCAGGTGCATGTATACCTTGATCGGCTTTCTTCGCAGGATGAAGAATGACTCGGCTCGTTGCGTCAGGAAACGGGTAAACTTGTGTACAAGAATATGCTCGATCTCGTCTGCCTGCTTGATCTTGATGCTTATTCTGATGGAGTTGATGCTGGGCTCGATGAGGACGCGCTCGTTTTCGTTGCGCGCGATCGTCAACGGGGTCAGAAGCACCTCAGGTGAAGACTGGGCCTCGATCTCGGGGACATTGTGTCGTTCGGCCGTCTGCGAGGCAAAGTTGGATAGCGTCAGGGCGGCAGTCAAGCTGCTGCGGACGCATTGGAGGTAGGGTCGGAGGGATTGAGACTGTCGCGCATGGTCAGAACAGAGATTATTTCGCCGATAATTCTAAAAGGGCAGACTGACCATTGCTAAAGAAAGGAGCGCTGCAGCTTGGCGCTCGTCGTGGTGGTGGTGCTGCTTGTTGCTTCGTCCGGCGTCACTGCTGGCTGCGACGGCGGGGTTCAGGTACTGGAGCTCACGGATCACTACCTGACATCTCTAGGTGGGGCTGAGCACGGAAAACGACGTATGCATCACGTGAAATGTGTGGCGCATACGGCGGGAGTGTGGCGCATTCACCGCCCGCGACTCCACTGCATCGTGCTGAGGCAACCACTGGAGCTGGCCGACGATTTCTCTCCGTCAAGTCTACCCAAGTAAGTAAATAGATAGTCTGAAGACAAGTAATGAGAAATAAAATAAATGGGGGGAACAAGGTTGATATGAGAGTCCGGTAAGATAAAACACGGAGAAATGAAAATAAAATTTAAAGAAACAGCCATTTGGAATCTCGTGTTTGCGGCACCTCAAACTGTTACTGCACAACTGACAGGGCAAATCAGGTACCACCCATGACGAAGCTCAACTCCTTCCGTCTCCACCATGTTCGAAGGCGAGCCGCCCAGTTCTCTCTTCCGCCACCGTTCTTGCTATCTTCGTGTGCCTCTTTTCTAGCCTGGCCTCGACGACTGCATTTTGGCTGCATAAAACATATTCAATATTTGTTTCCAGACATAGCAATTGGCCACCATGGCAATCATACCTGGTCCGTTACCCCGCCATTCCCCGCGCTTCCATTACAATCGCTGACTGTAACAGTGGTCGCCAAGCACCAAGGCAAAAAGTACGAAGTCGACGTCGACACCGACACGACTGGCATCGACTTCAAGCTCCAAATCTATTCATTAACCAACGTCGAACCCGAGCGTCAAAAGATCCTCGTCAAGGGAGGCCAGCTCAAGGATGACGCGGAAATGAGTGCGCTCGGTCTCAAGGCCAACCAGGTCCTGATGGTCATGGGCACGCCTAGCGGTGGCGGCCGCGAGATTGTGCGCCCCAAGGACCAGGTCAAGTTTGTAGAAGACATGACCGAGGCCGAGCAGGCTCAGCAGGTCGGCGCTACGCCCGCTGGTCTGGTCAACCTGGGCAACACCTGCTATCTCAACTCGACCCTTCAGACGCTTCGTTCCATCCCCGAACTGCAGACCGCCCTTGAGGACTACATGCCCACTGAATCATCGAGTTTAGGGTTGCTGGCGGGCATGGCACAGATGGATCTGGCCGCTCAGCTTGCTGCCCTGTACAAGAAGATGAGCGCCACACAAGATCCCTTTCCTCCGGTCAACTTTCTAGGTGCCCTGCGCGTCGTTTTCCCACAATTCGCCGAAAAAGCCAAATCAAACAACGGTTACGCACAACAGGATGCAGAAGAAGCCTGGTCTCAAATTGTTCAGCAGTTGGGCGAGAAGGTCCAAATCAAGCAGGAGACTGGCACGAGCACCTCGTTCGTTCAGAAGTACATGAGTGGCGAATTCACCTCATCTATGGAATGCGATGAAGAAGATGCCATAAAAGCTGGAGAGAAGCCCATTGTCTCCAAAGACCATTTTGCAAAGCTGAACTGCCACATCGACGGCCAGACAAACCACCTCCGCGACGGTATCCTGGCTGCTCTCAGCGAGAAGATTGAGAAGAAATCGGAAGTCCTCGACCGAGATGCTACGTATACGAAACAGTCGAAAATCTCCCGAGCTCCGAAGTACCTCACCGTTCACTTTGTGCGCTTCTTCTGGAAGCGCGAGACTCAGAAGAAGGCCAAGATCATGCGCAAGGTCACATTCCCTCAGGAGCTCGACATTGTAGAGTTCTGCTCCGACGAGCTGAAGAAGGCTCTTATTCCCGTTCGAGACAAGGTCCGCGAAGTACGCAAAGACGAAGAAGACATTGAGCGTGCCCGCAAGCGACGCAAGAAGAACAACAACACGGACGACATTGCTGGTGGTGCTGGGTTACCCAGCGAGAGGGAATTGAAGGAGAAGGAAAAGGCCGCCGCCGAGAAACAGAAACGAACTGGCGAGAAGCCAGCCGAGAAGTCGGCAGATGGCGATACCGAAATGGGCGAAAGTCATAAGACTGACGCGGAGGTCGAGGCGGAGCAAGCTGCCGCGCTCCTCAGTGCCAAGAAGGAACTGAATGCCCTCATTAACCCCGAGCTGCGAACCGACGACGGTGCCAACCAGTCTGGCCTGTATGAGCTCCGTGGTGTTGTTACACACCAGGGTGCCAGCGCCGACAGCGGTCACTACACCGCATACGTCAAGAAGACTACCCCCGTGGACCCCAAGACTGGTGTCAAGGGCGAGGAGGATGGCAAGTGGTGGTGGTTCAACGATGACAAGGTGACGGAGGTGACGGTAGACAAGGTCGAGTCTCTATCGGGCGGGGGTGAATTCCACTCGGCTCTGATTCTGCTCTACAAGGCCATTGATCTGCCTAGCGTGGAGGGACAGTAAGGGGACGTAGTAATACCGGGAAGGCGCGGAACAGTTAGACTCAGGTGTGTTCAGATGCAGCACAATTATATCATGATGTTACGTAGCAACATTGGCCACATGTGAATTTGTGAGTATGCAAGTAATGTACAAGTCTATCGGGTATCATATATCATGTAGGTATTGTACAGGGCGCAGATAGTTAGCTACGCGGCCAGCAGCTTCCATGCGATGACGAGGAAGCCCTGGAGCCAGAAGGGCCGTGAACAGTCGCCCGTTACCGTTGTCGCTTCGTCTTTTCCTCCTCGCGCTCCTTGAGCCGCTCCTGGAAGACCTGCATCTTGCGGTCGATCTGCGCGCTCTGAAGCACCAGGTGCTTCCGCTGCTCCTCCAGGATCGCTATTTGCTGCGCGGGCGAGTCGGCTCGAAACTGCTTAATCGACTGCGGAGCATGTTAGCGATGGCTTGCGAATGGGCCTACGACCACGCGTACGGACCTCGGTCTTTTGCTGGTCCGACTTGAGTTGCGCCCCGGTGAGGGAGCCGACGATGATGACGGCGCCAAAGGCGGTGGCGATGAGGCCGCCGCGCAGTCTGGGCTTGGGTAGAGGGCCGGACATGCGCGCGATTGTGTTCGGAAGTGTGTATGTTTTCTTCTCGTGCGAGGTGGCGTGGCGCGCTCGTTGATTTGAGGAGGAGGATGGGCTTGTGGTTGCGCGGTGGTTGCACGGTGGTTGCGTCGGTGTGAGAATGTCGCGCTTTTCGGTCAGTGGATGTATACGGGGGAGAATTGGGGGAGAATTTCCTGGATGCGGATGCCTATGATGTAGTCGCTTTATCCGTCGCAACAGCGGCGCAATCGTAGAAGCTGAATCGCCAAAGCTTTTCTTGATTTCGCTTCTTTTGGGATGAGGCTTGGCCGTTAGTCAGCTGCTGGAGCGTTTCGCGGTGGCGCTATCAACCGCTGTAGATTGCCCAGGCTCGGTTGCAGCCGACGGGGTGTTAACATCATGCTCTCAACCGCTACTACACGGACAAAATGCTGCGAAAAAAGGGTAAAAGGTTTGAAAGCCACTATTATTAGGGGCATATATAATACTTTGATCTGTCTGAATAACCAGTCAAAAGGACATCCCAAGCGTTGTGACAGATTCTGTGGCTGTTCCTGCTGTAGACTTGGTAGGCGCTAATCGCACTTTGTACCTGGTTATCGCAACAACAGATGTATCACAAGGAACGTACTGTAGGCTTCACGCTAGGGTCTGGACGATGCCAAAATGAACCCCATCAGGGTCATTATTATTTATTTGCACGAGAAATTACTCTTTGGATTGCATTACGTATTGACTCTGGTCACCGACAGCAGATGGCAACGGCAAGTGAACAGCCTTACCATACCCTTGAGCTGTCTCTTTCATTGAAAGTACCGAGGGTCCGCCAAATGACGACCACTGTACGGATACGGACCATATGAGTGCGAAATCGACACCAAGGTCTTTGTTGCGACGTAGGCTCTGAGCTATCCCTCATTCACTTCAGCTAGAAGATCGGCAGCAGAAGCAGCGCAGAGCCCCGGAGCTTCAAGGCTGAATCACTGCTGATCCAAGTCAACTCGTTCAGCTCCCCCGTCCCAACTTGTCAACCCTGTTTCGCAAATTAACACGTCCCCCATCCACGTTAAAAGAGTTGCACGATCTGCAGCGAATCGCGCAAGGCACCCGCATTGACCGGCAGTCAGAGTTTAGTCTTCAGCCCCAGGGACCAAAGATGGTCTTCATGGCGAGCAATACGATGACGGAGGAAAGTTGCCCGACAACCTTCTGTGCGGCTGAGGCCCGGCGCTTTGCCGGATCAAGTCCAGGTGGCCGCCCGCAGCAGCCCAGCCACTAAAACCCCAGGGGGGGGGGGGGGGGCTAGAGGGGTAAGTAATAAGATGTCGGTGCAACATTATGCTGACGCTAACTGACGTTGCGACCTTCTCGCTTGGGGAAAGGAACCTTTGAAGAAGCCTAGAACTGGACAGGATGGAAAGTAAAGTGGAGGAAAACATCTTCAGCTGCAGGGGAGTCGTTGTTGAATTCGGGTCAGCCTTGCGATGCTCCGACTTACAGAGTTGAAACTCCTCAAGTATAAAGAGCGCTTGTTGCCCGCCCCCTCAGTAGTGATGAAAAGGAAAACCATCAAGACTCACTTTCACTCATAACAGCAAGTTTTACCAATAAACCATCACAACCCAACTCCACCCGCCAACATGAAGGTCGCCATTGTCAGCATGCTCCTCGCCGCCTCCGGCGTCCTCGCCGCGCCCGCCGACGAGATGCTCGAGAAGCGCAGCGGCCCCGGCATCGTCAAGGCCGCCGACAGTCAGATCGGCGTCGACTACGTCTACGGCGGCGGCGGCTGCAAGGGCCCCTCCAAGGGCGGCTTTGACTGCTCCGGCCTGACCCAGTACTCCGTCTGCAAGGCCCAGGGCAAGACCATTCGTGCGTCTCCACCACCTTGACATGTGCAACAAGACCTATGTATGCTGACATTGACTCAGCCCGCACCGCTCAGGAGCAGTACCACTCGTCCATGGGCAAGCGCATCCCCCGCGGCGAGGCCAAGCCCGGCGACATGCTCTTCTGGGCCACCGGCGGCGACTGCAAGAACAAGGTCGCCCACGTCGGCATCTTCGTCAAGGCCGGCACCATGGTCAACGCGGCGCACACCGGCACCAAGGTCCGCCAGCAGGCCATCTGGACCTCCTACGGCGGCGAGTCCATCTGCCCCGACGCCGTCCGTTTCTGGTAGATGTGGTGGATGTGTGAACACTGTACATATATAAACGTAAATAGGCCGAAAAACAAGGTTGACAACGTTGATGCTGCAAAAGGAACGATCGAGTGTAGTACAAGTCTGAATGTGTAGAGAACATGCGGCCTCCTCAGCCTTACTTGCGATTGAGCCTCTCAATGGCCTCCCGCGCTCCATCCCACTTCTTCCTCTTGCCTTCAAAGACGCGGAGCAAAAACGGCGAGTAGATGCCGTCCACGAGGAGCTTGTAGTACGCCCGGTTGCGCCACCAAAACGCCCACCCCCTCCACCCCCAGCCCAGGTTCTCGGCCAGCCCCGTGCCCGCCGTGGCCTGCGCCCAGGGCTCCCACGAACTCTGCCGCACCCAGGTGCCCGGCGTCGGGCCCTGCCTGGCCCGCCGGCAGACCAGCGCATGGTGCGCGTCGACGGCGCGGCCCATCTCCGCGACGGGCGGCAAGGACGAGTTGCCCGTCCAGACCTGCGCGAGCGCCATGGACGCCAGGTCGTACAGTGGGAACGCGCCGCTGAAGAACCACACGCAGCCCATGAAGGCGAGCGAGTCCGGGTGGTCGAGGGAGAAGATGTTCTGGTACAGGCGCGGGAGCGGCTTGCCGTACGATCCGGGGAGGTCGTACCAACTCTGGGGCGTGCTTCGCGTCGGGTCGACGCCCCTTTCCATGATGCTGAAGTCTTTGCGGTAGCCGGTGCAGCAGATGATGCTGTCCACTTCGATCTTGCTTCCGTCGCTGAGCTCGACCGTGGTGCCGTCGAGGATAGACTTGACGGCCGGCACGGACGTGACGACGCCGTTGGCGAAGTTGGACACCAGGTTGTCGGAAACAATCACGCCGCCAAATTTAATGTGCAGAGCTGGCGTGAGCCTCCACTCAGGCTGCATCGTGAATCGATCTCGTGAGAGCTTGCCCACCATCTTGTTGAACAGGAAGTCTGAGATGGTAGGAGCATATCTGTCCAGATTTGATAGAAGACTGAGCTTCCGCAGAGTCAAGGTATGGTCCGACGGGATGCCGGTTTTGCTCGTTCGGGGAAGCTAAAGGATGTGAGCATTGGCGCTGCAAAATACCCAATTAAAATAGGAGGAAAGAAAAAGAAACAGATATAAGTATAGGGCACTTACAATATGGATGCCCCTGGCGTGCGAAATGTAAATTTCACTCGCATGTCCGCGCAGCGCCTCGACGGTGTCAGCTGTCGTATTGCCTAGGCCTATCAACAATACCCGCTTCCCCTTGAACGGCTCCGGTCTGGGAATGTTGTTAGTAGTAGTATAAAAAAGTTTCAAAAATTCCCTACCTTTTGAAGGCTTGTGAGTGAATGAAGTCGCCCGTAAAGCGCTCCACTCCCTGTATGTTTGGCATGTTCGGGTGGGACGTTGGTCCGGTCGAAACCACGACCTTGTCAAACCGTTGCGAGGCGCCGTCTGCCATATCTAGTATCCATTGATGCTTCTCCTCGTCCCGTCGGATTTTCTGTACGGCGACACCGAGGCGAAATCGCTTCTCCAGGTCGAAATGCTTTGCGTAGCTTTCGAGGTAGCGCTGAACGTCCTGGGCTGTCGCATGAGAGGGCACCGACGCTGGAAATTCATAGTCTGTAAAGCAGCCCTAGAAAACATCATCAGGATGGATGAAGTGTGTATTGTATACGCTTAATACTTACGCGTTCCTTTGAGATGTTTACAATGGTCGCTATTCACGGGTCAGCCGCTGCCGACCGGGCGCAAACCTGTGCAACTTACATTGAAGCACTGAAGTTTGGTTATCCTCTGTGTAGTGCCAAACTCCGCCAATGTAATTGTTGGATTCGAAGCCAGTTACGTCAAATCCCTCCTCCACGAGATTCTTCACCGTGACCAGACCGACAGCGCCTGTTCTCTTCAATTAGCATTTTATACGCTAGCGATCGGGTTGATCTAAGCATACCTAGTCCAACGACAGCGACGGTCGCCTTTTGATCTTTCATGCTTGCAAATTCTCTGTGGTGAAGTGTCACGTAATGCTTGCGGGTTGCAACATGTCGTGTGTTCAGCCGTGACGATATTTATGCATTCAGGTGGCGTGGTCCATCAAGGTAAGCTTAATAACCGAGCACTCTGCTCGATATCCGTTGCCGCGTGGCTTGGTGCAATCGGACCTACGAGGCCGCAGCCTAATCGGGCGTCTTTGCGAAGTTGCATCTTGGAGGATATTGCTTGTCGGAAATACGGGAAACGGGTGGTTTGATTTTAGCCGCGTTCTGACCGTTTTCATCAAGTTGGCGAGTCGGCAGTTGACGGTCCGGGCCGTTTCCCGATCCGACGGTTTTAAATCCTGGACCACCGTTCAAAACGGCCCAGTCACGTTTGCTGGAGACTCCGAGTACATGCATACGTACATATACTCCCGTCTCCCACTCTCGCGACTTTTCATCTCGGCTTTTTCTAAACGCGAACAAGCAATTCCCGATACATATGCGCCCAGCATGTACTCATTCAATATTCCCCTGAAGGAGCTGCAATCCCTTTCCGTCTCCAGTCAATATAGCGGTCATCAGTGCATCCAAGGTCGCATTCGAATGGAGCAGGCTCTGCAAGGCCGAGAAGACGTCCGCGGACAGAGCCAAAGTCCGAAACTAGGATTGTTTGCCTGAGGATGTCGTGTCAAAACTGGTTTTATAAAAGGAGACTGCAGGATTCGAGATTTGATTGCCACCACGACTACACCAGACGAAAAAAAATGTCATCTGAACCTCTAAGATCACTTAACGTGCTTATCAGCGGAGCGGGCATCGCCGGCCCTGCCACGGCCTTTTGGCTCAGCCGCCTCGGACACAAGTGCACCATTGTCGAGCGGTTCCCGGGTATCCGAGAAAATGGTCTCCAGATCGATGTCCGCAAGGAGGGCGTCGAGGCTATGCGCCGCATGGGTCTCCTCGACGAGGTCAAGAAGCACGTCGTTGACGAGCTCGGGACCAAGTTCGTCGACTCCAAGGGCCGCTGCGTCGCCCTCTTCCCCAAGATTGAGGAGGACAAGCACGGAAAGCAGGGATTCACCAGCGAGTACGAGATTATGCGCCACGATCTCGTCAAGGTCCTCGTGGACGCGTCCAAGGACAACGTCACGTATCGCTTCAACCTCTCCGTCTCCGAGTTTGACAATAGGGAGGACAGCGTCGTCGTGACCTTTTCCGACGGCACCGTCGAGACGTATGACATGCTCATCGGCGCCGACGGGCACGGCTCGAGGATCCGCAAGATGCTGCAGAAGAGCGAAGGCGAGGGGACGGACCAATCCGTCAACATGGGCGTCTACATGTGCTTCTTCAAGACGCCGCCCACCCCAAACATGGAAAAGATGACCAACTTTTACATCGCCACGCAACAGAGGGTGCTGGCCACGCGGCTGCACTCCGAAGGCCAAGTGTACATGTCTGTGCGAGGCCCCCCCGACGAGCTGGAGAGCGTCCTGACCAAGGACGTGGGCACGCAGAAGCAGTACTTTGAAAAGGTGTTCCGCGACGCCGGCTGGCGCGCCGAGGAGCTCATCGAGGCCATGCACAAGACGGACGACTTTTATGCCACGTCGACGCACGTCATCCGCAGCAGCGTGTGGTCCAAGAACCGCGTCGTGCTCGTCGGCGACGCGGGCTACTCGCCGACGCCGCTGACGGGCACGGGCACCAGCCTCGCGCTCATCGGCGCCACGATTCTGGCTGGCGAGGTCGCCAGGCACGGCACGGACGACCTGCCGGGGGCGTTTGCGGCGTATGAGCGGACGCTGCGGCCGTACGTGGACATTGTGCAGGACATTCCGAGATCGGTGACGCATGGGCCGTTTTGTGAGGGAAAGGCGAAGTTGCGGTTCGTTCAGTTGTTGCTGTGCACTATGACGAAGTTGAGGCTGGACAAGCTGTTCCAGTCGTTCATTTTGAGATCGAACGATCCGTTTCGCATACCCCAGTATCCAGAATTGGACAAGTTGATCGGCAGCCAAGCATGACGCTTTCACCAAATGATCCTTTTGCTTCTGAGGAAGGCTACTACTCAATCTCCACTCCCATGACAGCTTCAATATACATTCCGTTATAAACCACCACCACTAATAACAACCATGATCATGAGGCCTATCCCAACGCCCAGGCTGTCCCTTGCCATGCTCACTAAACGTGTCCAGATACCGCACGCACCTTTTCTCCGTCAGCTCCCTCATGTCAAACTCCGTCTGGTCCGCGTCGACCGTGTGCCCATTCACCGAGACGAACGTGCCGTACTCGGGCGCGCCGCTCCCCTCCACCGCCCTCCACGCCCTTGTCCGCGCGGGCAGGCCCAGCGCCGCCGCATCCTCGACGCCGACCACCTCGCCCGTCGCGTTCGTGCTGAAGCAGCGCACGCCGCACGTCCGGCAGAAGAAGAAGCGAATCTCCTTGTCGTCGGTCAGGTAGTCGCCGAGCGCGGCGTAGGGGTCCAGCGGGCGCAGCAGCAGAAAGTCGCGCGCCGCGGAGGCGGGCTTGACGTGGAAGAGGCCCATCTTGTGGCAGGTGGTGCAGTTGCAGCGCTGGAAGCGCTGCTGGCCGGCGCCGGGAGGCGGGGAGGAGGGGTCCGGGGGCGGCGCGGGGAGGGTGAGGAAGAGCACGTAGCGCGTGGCGCCGCAGTGGCATCCGCCGTGGAGCGGTGCTCGTCTCGGCTCCATGCTGGGAAGAGAGGGTTGGTTATAGGGTGCAGATGGAGAAGAGAAAATTCTTCTTTGACTTGCGCTGTATCGTGGGACGAGGCCAAGTTTAATAGGTTGTAGTAGGTCGCGCTGAAGCTCAGTAGCGCCCACAGCCTCGTGAACTGTTTGTAGCTGATGCGCCTGGAAATTCACGGACACAATTCGGGCAGCAGAGCAGCGCTACGTACAGATCCAGAAAAAATTTATTCCTGTGCCAATTAAATGCTTTGTTGTAGTTGCCAATCAACAACCTTCTCTTATAGGTATGCGACGAGGACGAGACGTCACCGCTCACAGAGCTTGTGCAAATAACGAGCACGACTTTGAGGAAAGAATCTTAAATACTGGATTGTGGCTATGCAGGTATGCTCTAAACATGCAGCGGGAAGCGCCAGTCCCGGGAGGATGGCTCATCGACCGCCAGCGCGCCCACGGGCTCGCACTTTTCCCAAAGCTCGCAGGCCGCCTCGCACGTCTTCTCCCCGTCCGGTACGACGCCCTCGTCAAAGTACTTGCGCACCACATCCCGCGTGCAGTCCGACGAGCGGGGGCTCCCGAGCACGCAGTGGCCTAGGGCCTCCTGTACCAGCACGCCTGCGCCGGGGTACTTGGCCGCGGCCTTGCGCGCCGCGCGCAGTGGCGTCACCGGGTCCAGGCGGTTGGAGAGGAACAGGATCGGCGCGGCGGGCCTCCCGGGCTCCGGCTTGGAGGCGTCACGGGAGGGCGCCGGCGAGGTAAACGGCCCGTGGAACTGCCACTTGGCGGGCGTCCGCCACTTGGAGCAGGCGATGCGGATGGTGCTCCACGTGGCGCCCGCGACAGACGACTGCGCGAGCTGGTGCTCGACGTAGCCGCGCCAGAACGCGGCGTCGCGGCCGGTGATGGGCTCGCCGTCGCCGCACAGGATTGCGCTCTGGGGGTCCCGCACGTCGGGGTCCGTTGCCGCCGTCGAGTTGCCGCCGATGGGGCAGACCTCTTCCAGCGGCCCGCCGGACGAGGACGTGACGAGCTCCCACAGTGCCGTCGTGTTGCCGCGCATGGCCTCATCGGCCGTCTTCGCCGTTTCCGGGAACTTGCCGAACGGGCTGTACAGCGCCTCGAACAGCAGCGCGTGCAGGTCGGCGGGCCGGACCACTGCGGCGTCGCCGCTGCCGTCGGGCTTGGTCACGAACACGGGGGACTCGTCGAGGCGCGCGGCCCAGTCCCAGAAGCGTCGGGCAATGTCGGCCCCGGAGGCGTCGCCATGACGGTACAAGGCGCAAGCGTCGCTACCGGCGTCGAAGCAGCTCTGGAAGAAAACATCGGCCATCTCGTCGGTGTCGACGGTGTTGGTGAGCCAGCCCTAGCCAGAGTCAGTCTCTCATTAATTTGCCTAGCGAGGCGGGCTAGGTAAGACTTACATCACCGGTTGCGTAGTCGTCAATGTCGCAGACGCCGTCTAAGAGCAGGCGGCCGATGCGTCCCGGGAACATGGAGGCAAAGTAGTTTCCGAGGACGGTGCCGTAGGAGAAGCCCATGTACTGCAGACGCGGGAGGTCATGCTTGCCGTCGGCGGCATCGCGCAGCTCCAGCCGGTCGTCGTCTTCGTCGGCCTCTACCGTCGTTTCCTCTCCGGTAGCGTTGCCCTTCTTGCGCTGCTTCTTGTTGTACGCGTCAATCTTCTCCACCACGGCCAGCATATCCCTCGCGACACTCGTGGTGCCGACGTACTTGAGCAGCTCGCCGTTGAACTCTTCGCAGCGGTCGCCACGGATGGCGGCGAGGCCGAGGTTATACGACAGCGCGGCCGGGCTAGTATCTACACCACCGCTGCCACGGGCCTCGAGCGATGCGGCAGCTTGTGCGAGACGGCTGTCCGGGTAGCAGTTGATCTGCGGCGTCGTGCGTCCGATGCCGCGCGGATCGAATGAGACGAACTCAAAGTGGCGGCGGCCGGGGGTGTCAACCACGTCGTGGTGCTTGGCGGCCGCACCCCGTAGGTAGTCCACGCCGGAACCACCGGGGCCCCCCGGGTTGGACAGCACGGGTCCGCCATAGGTGGGGTCATCGACGGGGACGACGGCGGGGGACTTGATGAGGGCCAGGGCAATCGTCTCGTTGGGCTTGGGGTTCAGCCAGTCGAGCGGAAGCAGCAGTCGCGCGCAGCGGAAGCTGCCGTAGCAGTCGTGGTAGGCAAGGTCGTGGCTGGGCGTGATGCTCTGCCAGTCAAACTTGTCGGCGGCCGTGGCGACGCCGGCCAAGGCGGCGAGAGCAAGTATATTTGCCCTCATCGTGATGACTGCTGCTGCTGCTGCTGCTGCTGATGATGATGATGAAGAAGAATCCGGGAAGGCCAAGATGAGCAAGGTCAAGATGACTTGGCTGGCTCAAAGGGGCCATGCCATGTCAAGTGTAGCAGGGAAGGAAGGCTGTTGTAGCCTTATTACGTGGCTAGGCTTCCCCGCTCCCGGTTGCTGTAGCCGTCACAGCCTCAGCCTGGGTGATTGATGATTGCTTGCTTTTCTGACTGGTGCTGACGGGGCTATGTAGTTGATAAAATGCTTACTCGCATACTCTTACTCAGTTTATTGATTTCAGCAGACGCATGTGCTCAATTGAGTTGGTAGGCAACAAGGTTGTTTCCAACGAGCGCGGCGTTACCGAGAAACGCCATAACCGATAGACTCTCAGCTAACAGCCGATGATTCCCGTGCCTGGGATGGCCTATTTTGATTGCATCAAGGAAATAATAACACAACAGTACAGATTATAAGAATGTCCTCTCAACTTCCGAATTACTCCGTACGGATCTGAGTGATTACCTAGTTGTGTACATTACCACTCGCAGGCTACCCGGTAGCTTCAGCCGACTGCTCTCTAGAATATGAGTATGTAAACCCTAGCACAAATACACCGGACCGTCGGGGGAGATGGGACTCGTCTTTCCATGTACATGAGCCCATACACGCTGTCTGTCTGACGATTCTTTGGTCTTTACATGTTGCCCGATCTACTGTTTCTGCAACAATCTCTCTGGGTGCGCTCTGTCGCGTTCAAGGTTCGTCCACGTCCCCATTCGAGTTTGCAAGTGGGCGGCGAGTAGAGCCCACAGCAAACGCAGAATCGACGCAACACAATTCATAGCCCTCTCTTCCTACAAGGGGGCGATCAAGTTACAAATACGCTCACCAATATCCCCATCGTCCACAATGTGATCTGCGCGTCTGCTGAGCTGCGGCAGACCCTCGCGCCCTGCACCGACCCGCCCGGCCGCGCCAAACGGACAAGGCGGCAAGGGTCGCTCGGTCTCTGATCGGGGGATCTCTCACTCAATCACAAACACGGCAACCTGTCGCCTCGTCAATCGGCCCTCGTTCACTGACGCGAGACAAAGCAGGACTGGCCAATGGTAGTTGACCGACATGACGTGCTTCAGCCTTGACCATGTCCCAGACGCCACCCCGCAAAATGATCCCAGTAACCCCTCCAAGACAACGATGCCGATTTCAAAAAGCCAGGCAGCCAATAGTGGAGAGACAAGCAGTAAAGCGCCACCGTCATTGATGCATAATCTCGGATGTGATGTGAGGAGTGGACGAGCCTTGCATTGCTGGGGCGGGCCGCTTCGATCTGTCTGAGTCTCGAGCGTTACATGGATCGAGTGAAAGAGCAGGGGGTATAGTTTGCCGTTACGGTAGCCCGAGGAGGGAAAGCTAGGGAGTTGCATCCCGTTGTACTTTGCTGTGAAGACGATGTGGAATGTGGAAAGTAACGTTATCCACGAGATGTCATTGCAAATTAAAGTACTCGTGCTGTCTGGCTATAGATGGGTTGTAAAGAAGTGAAGTAGATTCCACGCTCTGTGTTGTTGTTGTTGTTGTTGTTGTTGTTGTTGTTGTTGTTGTCTCCCGCCTTGCTTTGTTTTCACTTTTCCCTCTTCTCGCTGTCCTTTTTTTTGGTCGTCTTGTCTCTTTTTTTTCGTTGCCCCCCTCACCCCCCTCACTCAAGCAGACTGCATCCTGACCACGACGTAGACCAGGTGCGCGCTGCCCTCCACGACCGAGAACGCCTGTCCGGCGGCGACCAGCATCGCGGCCTCGGGCTCCCACGTCGCCCGCGTCGTCGTCGTCGCCGGCTCCTCGCTACTTGCCGCCTTGCCCTCGACCTGCACGGCGGTCGCGGACAGCGGCAGCACCACGGCCACGCTGTCGTCGGGCGTGCGCATGATGCTCCCCTGCTCCAGGCGGAGCGTCTCCGGGTGCTTGTCGAGGATGGTGGTGCTGGTGATGCGCTTGCCACGTTGGCTGGCCCAGGTGTTGAGCTCGTCGGCCTGTCGGGGCGGCGGGGATGTGTGTTAGCTCTTGACAGCTTTCCATTAATGGTTCCTGTTCCTTGCCGCGGGAATACTCCAAGTGGGAGGAATGGCAGTGATCGCACCTTTTCAGACAGCGCAATGTCGAGATAGTGCGCGCAGGCCGACGACAGGCCGTACGAGAAGACGCCCTCGGCCTGCTGGGTCGGACCCGCGCCGACGCCCTGGGCCAGGACCTCGCGCGCGGCGCTCTGCTTGCCCTCGAGGGTCTCGCGGCGACGCAAGTTCAGAAACACGAGCGCAGACATGATGACGGACGATGGTTTATGTTGGTGACGATGATGAGGTTGATGAGGGGCGAAGTGAAGCGGGGTGCTGCTGATGCTGCTTTTTGTCTTGTTTGCTGTTTGTTGGTGGCGTGCGAGCTTTGGACAAGATTGCCCCCCCACGCAACAAGTTGATAACGCCCAACCTTTTACCTCTTTCCTCCTCCCTTGTCTTTTTTGTATTAGTACCCTCTACTTTCTTAAATAAGAAATAAGTCAGAAAGTGCCACTGAGCTTTTTTTCCGTCTCTCGTTTGGAATGCTTAATTAAAGTGCGGGGAAGAAATGGAAACGGAAGAAGCGTCCGGCGATGGCGTCTCCGCGGGATCAGCCGGTTCCACATGTCAATCGTCAGCCCCTTCTTCCAGCGCTAGGAAGACGTTACGCGACGACGATCTAATAAAGTGCTAAAAAAAATGCAACATCGGATTCAGCCTCAGTGTTAGTCAGTACAATATGAGATTCTAAATCTTGCGGGAAAAATCCCATCTTCTCTTGTTCAACCACGTCCAAAGCTATCGACAACTGTCGGCGTATTCCGCCTCTCCCACTCTCACCCCTACATACGCCTCATTCTTTACGTGGAACAAAACCAGGGCCATCTTTCGCTGGCTATACTTCTGGCTGCTGCAGGATGCACCGCATCCATTACATCCAGACTCTGCCTGGTGAGACATGCTGCGGCGCTGAAAAAGCCTCGCATCTAGACCCCAGACCTTGATCTCCGAAAGTAAGCAGGCAGCCTGATATGGGCAGCGTGGGTACGAATTATATGCTCAGAAGGGACAGGTCTCTTCGCTGCCCGACGTATTCTCCTCACTCGCCAAGCCAAACAGAACATCATGCACGCACTTGTAGAATTCCATATAGTAGAGAGATATGGGGACTTACGAGCCGGGTACTGCGAAACTACAAGACAAGTCCTCATCAGCTTTGCTGGGTATTAATAACTAATTACATGTTGCAAAAATAAAAATCAGCTCTAACTGCGTGTTGGCCTCCGTCAACTGCAGCTCCGTCTTCTCCTTCCCTGTTGATAGTAACTGCTTCTCCTTCACGAATAGCATCTCCATTCAATCCTTTACAACTGCAATCTGCCCCTTCGCGAAAACACCATCTCCATCACCTCTTCACGTTTGCACCCGAAAAGGTAAACCCGATATACGCTCGCTGATCGTCAATTATTCGGCCGTATCTAGAACTCAGGTCAGCAACTTCACGCAGAGCAACCACGACAAAGCTCTCGTTCGGGGAACTCACTCCAGAAGAAGCCTAAAGAACCACGCCTCCATGTCCTCCTTTCGCAGCACCCTCTCCGCCCAGTCTGTGCTCCTCGCCGCCATCCCCTCCGCCTCCGCCGCACCGCCCCCGCCGTCCCCGTCCGAGAAGTACCTCACCAGCTCCAGCCACTCCCTGCCCTGCAGGCTCAGCGGCGCGTAGTGCACCCACGGCCGCAGCCACTCCGCGTGCCACTCGCGGAACGACGCAAACTTGAGCGTCAGGCTCCTGCTGCGCAGCAGCGCGTAGAAGCGCCCTGAGAAGGCGTTGCCGTCCATGTCCAGCACCATCCTGCTGTGCCAGCCGTCCTGCTGCGAGGCCCGCGCCTGCACGTCAAAGTGCGCCGTCTGCGCGGCGCAGTCGGCCTCATCGCACTGCACGACCTTTGTGAACGCGACGTCAACGAGGTCGCGGTACTCGCCGCGCTCGACCGTCTCGACCGCCCAGCCCCCAGCCGCGTGGTCGTCGCCTCGCCGGGACAGCACCGTGGCGGAGCCGTTGCCGCTCATCATGTCGACGAACCGCTGGCGGTGATGGCCTTTCCAGTTGCCGCCGGTCGCGAAGCCGCCGGTCGTCGACCCGCGCCAGTACAGCCGGTCCTGCTTCTTGGACCACGGCACGTCGCTGGTGGCGTCGTAGTGGACCATGTCGACCCAATACCACAGCGACGGGTAGAGGATGTCGTTGTTGACCGACGTCTTGGACTGCGAGAATATGGGGAGCAGGTCGTAGGATATGCTGTGGGTGTCGGGTCGGTCGAAGAAGCCGTGGGAGGCGCGGAGCGACGGCGACAGACACACGTCAGACATAGTCGACGTGTTGTAGATGAAGCCGAGCTCGCCTTGTCCGTAGCTCTTTACGTCGTCTTCGGAATCGGCATCGGCAAGGGCTCCGGCCGGACTGTCTGGGCGGCAACCCAGGCGTAGGTGCTGCCAGGAGGGGCTGCGCCCTATTTGAGTAAAGGAGATGGTATTCATATTCGTGTCGGTGTTTTCTTTGGACTTGGTGGAGTGACTTGAGAAACTGTTGATAGGGCTTCTGTTCGAGCTAGCAGCTAGCATGTTCTTTGTCAGTGCCCTTGCCAGGAATCGTTCCAGGTCGTCGTGCGGAACCACCACCCGCGGCTCGTCGATGGTGTTGAATGCAATCTCCATGCTCGGCAGATATTGCACAAACTTCTCCATCATCCCGCGCATCGCGTCCTGCATCCATTTCGGACCCCCTTCGACGTCCGTGACCTTGCCATCGCGGACCACGACGCGCATTAGGCTGTCGCCACTGCGTAGGGCTTCGGCTGCTCGCTTACGGACAGTTCTGGGTGCCAGTCCCCAGAAAGGCATCATGGACTGATGTATGTTGTCAAACTCGTCAACGAGCACCACTCCGTTCCGAGTCGCAAACTCATACCACTTGTCAAACTGTGGTGGCGGGGGTATTCCATACCTGGTGCGGTATTCTTCCACAGCCTGCCTGAGCGACTTAGACTGCCCTTGCTTAATCTCGTCAAATTTCCTTTGCGCAGCATCCACCAGCTTTGTGACTGGATGCTGATGTGTTGAATTGTTGGCGGTTGCGGCAACTGGCCGTGCGACAGGCAAGAAGGAGTCAAGTCGTCCAAAGCAAAGAACAAGGAGAAAGCAGGTAATCAGAGCAACTACCCCTACTTTAGCTCTTCTCGACATTCCTCTCACTGGCAGCATATTCCTTGAAGTCGGTTTTATCGTCTTTTCAGCTTTGATTGATTGCTCGGTTGCGGTAGAAGACCTCTGAGAACTTTGGGATTTCGAGCCATGTTGTGTCAAGAACCGTGGCTGGCTCGAGGCTTTTCGTGAGATCTTAACAGCATGATGCCCTCGTAACTAGAAAGAATGCTGAACTATGTTCTACCTCGTATACGACCTTGGCAGGGGTCGGACTTTGTAGGGAGGTTCTATGTATTAGACGTGAAGTGGATGAGATCCACAAACAATTGTAGAATACGAGCAGTGTTGAATTTGCACCGAATTCTTTTTTTTTGCCGACATTTTTCTGTCCTCTATGGCTTGTCCTGTCCAGGTCACTTTGTGATTGGCTATCAGCGTGTTGGGTTGTCGAGCCGGGAGTGGGATCGTGTCCATCGAGGAGGTGCTCAACACGCCTCTCATCATCGCAACTGATTTGTAACGAATCATCCTCAATTCAACACGTGAAAAGTATATCTGCCTTGGTGTCGCCTGCGATTCGGATCGGCATCCTGGTCCAGCCACTACGCAACTCGAGCGCCGGCCGGTGTGTTGCTCCAGTCGTAGTAGCGTAGATGAAGGGCATCACTTTGAGGTTCCGGAGACACGGCTCGGCTCAATCCATGTACTGCATTGCACATATGTCATGTATATCCGAGCTCACGGTAGTATACAGGCCGGTTTCATTTTCAGCTCTGCACCTCGACGTTGAAGGTTTGCATGAAACCCTTGCGGCTGAAGTACTGATTACGCACGTCGTATGGACTCTGGCTAGCCGGGGAGTGGGCATTGGAGACGCGGCAGCAGCGTTAAGCGAGACTGGTCCTGTTTTGGATCAAATGAGTCTTGGCCTGCTGCTAGCTGATGCATTTTTTGGAAAAGTCAAGTTCCCAGTATGCCCAAGGCGTCTCGGAAACTATCCCCATATGAAGAGCAAGCGTCAAGCCTCGAGTGGATGTCGTGGCGAAGCAACCGTGGCGCAGACAAAACATCGGATGACGGGCGCGGCATCATGATCTACAGAGGGCTGTCGCTGAAAATAGTAACTCGGACTTTTTTTTTGAGGAACAGGGGCCAACAATAGCCGCTCTTTGTTTGACAACAGGCCTGCTGTTTGAGGTAACTCGTCTTCTCCCAACCGCGGTCGCGAGGTAGGCCAAGCCTTTTCAGAGCAGGCAGGGCTCAGTGTTTCGCGAGGCGAGGAAAAGACGAAGAAATGCAACTCGATGAAGACGGAGAAATAATTGATCCAAGAGCAGAGATGTAAATTCGGCTCGTCGCCATCTTGTCGACAAGCTGAATGACCTGGGCCATTGCCGCGACCGTCTAGCGATTGCCGCATTCTCAGGAATGTGCAACCTGCCGTTTCTGGTGACCGTAAAGATTGCCGAGGCAGAAGCATGGCATCGGCCACTGCGCATTGTCATAATTATGCATCATGTAGCAGAGATATGCGCCGCCCCTCCAGCCCATCCGTGCCCAGCTCTGGGGAATTCGACCCTGCTGTCTCGTCTCCTGGCCGCTCCGGAGCCTCTAGCGCCGGGTGGCCTCCTTAGGTGGGTTTGCAGCGGCTAGGCAGCTCTAGCCAGGTCTTCCCGTCGTTGCCTGCCCGCTAATAATGGCCAATAAGTTGTCCCTTTATTAATAAGGCCCGATCTTGGGGCCTAGCGGGCGGGATCTGATGTCATCCGTCCAGGTCCAGGCCGCTGGCCCCGAATATCGCTCATGATCGCATCTCTGTTCCTTTGCGCCTCTTCCTCCTTCCCCTCCACCACCGACGCTGACCAAGAGCGACTTCCGCTTCCGCTTTGTCTTCTTTTTTTTTCCAGCGAGTCTGTCTCCGGTGCTTCCGCCATAACCGCATCCCCCCCGACAACCGCCGCCCCGCGTCCGCACGCACCAAGCACCCAATGCCGACGCCCAAGGTCTTCATCATCCGCCACGGCGAGACCGAGTGGTCGCTGAGCGGCAAGCACACGGGCCGCACCGACATTCCGCTCACAGCCAACGGCGAGAAGCGCGTACTGGCTACCGGAAGGGCCATGGTCGGGCCGGACCGCCTGATTGTGCCCGGCAAGCTTGACCACATGTGAGTCTCAACAGGATTCAATAAACCCAAAGGCAAGAAGGCTTTGCCTTCTCCCAGCTCTTCCCCGACTCAGCCGTCCTTGAGTTCTTTGCAACGTTGCGATGCGTGCTGTTACACCAAAAAAGAAGGCTCTCGAACAGTCCCAAAGTTTGCACGCACCCCCGTGCACCAGGCTCCAACCCAGAAACCCCTTGTCCCGCTCCTTCGTCCGATGCCGTTGTGCAACCGGAAGGGGCGTGTATTTTCGACCCTGACACGCGCCCAATGGCAGGCCTTCTTCTTCCCTCTTTTTTCTTTTCTTCCAGGCCCCAGCGGCGCGGTCACGGCAGCGCATCAGAGACATGGCATGGACCGTCCCTCTCTGTGATGACCCCTCCTCCCTGCCCGGCTGCATAAACTTGAGACATGCAGCCGCCGCATGAGATAGGGTACGCCAAAACGCCACACCCATTGGATCGTCTTTCCTCTTGTTTGTCAAGGCTGCTTGCAAAAGCTGCCAACTGACAAGTCGTCCTGCAGCGCCACAGGCTACCTTTTTTTCTTTTCGTTTTGCCTTTGTTGCCCACTCTCTTCGGCGGACCGCCCTTCTGCCACTTCACTCCTGCGTCTTCCCGTACCCGAGACACGACTGGGTTCTCGCAGCTTCTCGTCAGATATCAGATCATTTTGAAACCTTGTCGAAAAGCTCGTGTCCTCTCATTCGCCGCGCTTCTTGCGCGCTCTACCGTATCGTACAGTCACGCAGGGTGCACGCGAGTGCACACCCCCGTGAGATCTGTCTTGCCTTTCTATGTCTATGTTTGTTTTGTTGTTGTTTTTTCTTGTCCTCAAATATGCGAGTATGCGATGCCACCAAACGACTAATTCCACTCGTCACACTCTGACAGCTACGTATCGCCCCGCAAACGCGCCCAGCGCACCTTTGAGCTGCTCAATCTCGGCCTGCCAGGCGGTGCCTTGCCCTGGGAGCCCCACGGCGAGAACCCATGTGAGGGCCTCCGGTGCGCAGCTGCCGTCCAGGTCACCGACGACATCCGGGAGTGGGATTATGGTGACTACGAGGGCATCACCAGTCCCGAGATTCGCCAGATCCGCGCCGACCAGGGCGTCGAGGGTGGCCGCTGGGATATTTGGCACGACGGCTGCCCAGGCGGCGAGTAAGTTGTCCACCCCTGCCTCGGAGCCCCCCTTGCAGTTGCTGTGCGATAACCGCTAACATCCACCCAGGAGCCCACAAGACGTGACGGAGAGGCTAGATAGGCTGATTCACGAGATCCGCGAAAAGTACCATCGTCGAGTACTGGAAAGGACGCACCCCGATCCTGCCGCCACGGGAAATGTTCTCATAGTCGCCCATGGTCACATTCTACGCGCCTTGGCGCTGCGCTGGAGTGGCCTTCCGCTCGACGCTGGCCCAACCTTTTTACTTGAGGCGGGCGGCGTGGGCACGCTGAGGTATGTGAATGGCACAGGCGTCATATGGCCAAGGCATTAAGTCGCTAATGTTTGAGTCGCAGCTATGAGCATCACAATCTCGATGAGCCTGCCATCTTGCTGGGCGGTGCTTTTGTTGTTGGCGATGAATAGATTTGAATAGAGTCATTGTTGTAGAGTTTGAACGGACGAACGCATTAGAACCATGTTGAGACCCTGCCAACTAAATATGCTGATTCAAGATGACGAAGAGCCCGCATTCTTGGTCTCAAGAATCTGCTCCAGTTACGCAGTCTTAGTTCCTCTGGCAAGAAACAGCTGGCGACGCATGGTCTGGCCCTGCTCCGGCGTATCCTCAAATAGCACCTCCGAATTTAGCTTCTTGTACGCGAAGTTACCCGCGGCGCCGGCCGCCTCAAACATTTTGCGGGTGTTGTCCTCATCGAAGCCCAGGTGGTGCACCCCCCGCGCGGCATTGTGGTGCGGCTCAGCATAGTGCGGCAAAAAGTCAAGGATGAACAACGAGCCGCCCGTAACGAGGCGCTCGGCCAGACGCGTCGCCGCCAGGGTGGTGTCTTCAAAGTGATGGAAGCCCATACCCACACCCGCGACGTCAAAGTCGTGGAACAGACGGCCTTCGAGACTCGCAGATGGAGGATTGCTAAGGAGATTGCCGAAATAGGCCTTGCGACGATCCTCGGGCACGTTCTATAGAGCACGACGGGAAGAAACAGGGATTAGCTCGGTCATCTTTTCGGCTGGCACTGGTTTTCGCGAGGCACGTACCGCGCTGGTGGCCTTGGCGTTGAAAGCGCCAATCATATTCTCCGTGATATCTACGCCCACAGCTTGGCTGATAATGTCGGAAAAGCACTGTGATTGTTGTACAGGTTAGGTGAATATTTGAAAGTAAGAGAGAGCTGGCTCGGGACCAAACGTACGATAGAGACGAAGCCCGTTCCGCAGGCATAGTCGAGGAGCCTTCCTCCTTCCTTGAAGCCAATAAAGGCAGCATTGCCCTGGAGCTCCTTATTTACCGCATCAAAGACTTTAGCAAAACGCTGATCATAATCGGCAGCGATTTTGCTTTGTTGGGTGGCTGTTAGCGGCATGTGAAAGCTGATATCTAGGGTAAGACGGTCATGGAATATCCCGCTGTATGCGGAGTATTCGGGGGGCGGGGGCTTTTCCCAAGCATTATTGAAAATGAGTTTATTCACTTACTTGAAGTACTGTTGATTGACCTCTGCAGAGCTGGACATCTTGTATGTTATGTTCCCGTGCTGCCTTTTGCAGTCGAAAAGATGGCGATGGAGTAGGAAGCTTGCTGAGCCCATGCGCGTACAAGAGACTGGACTGAGAAGTAGCAAACTGATGACTGAACGAGCTAAAGGGATATTCGATCTGCAATGGTCTGTTGATTTCGGGCTGTAGATTTGTACTTGCTGTTCGGGCTCAGCCGGGTTTTTGAGCCGATCTTCAGCGCTGTATATACCCTGCGTGGAGACTTTTTCTTCGGAGACTTTTCCGATTGTGCGTGAGCAAAAGTCTCCGGACTATTATAGAGCGTCAAAATCTCAATACTAAGCTTCTGGATCAAGACAAAAAGTTTCCGAAATAGATAGGGGCGCAGTGAATTGAGAGTGCAGCTTGCTCAAAATTGCGGAAGCCGGCCCCGGCGTCAAGAGTGACGTATGTTGGTGTGTCACGGCTGGGACGCTGGAACTGGCGGTCCTGCTAGGTGGCTAGTTTGAGGATGAAGGCGATACAGCAAGGCAGGCCTTAGACTCGATAGAGGCTTTGTCATCATTAATGAACTGCAGCGCTCTTTGTGTTTGCACTGGTCATCGAAACATAGGACGCGTGTGGTCGGTTCTAGGAAAGTCGCGGAAACATTCATGCACCCGACATCGCCTTCTTGGGCCACGGTACTAAGTGTTGTTGCAGAATGCAGCTGCGAATGATCTGGACGCTTCCCATCAGGGCATAAGGAAATATATGATCGACGTTTAGTTCAGTGCCAACCTTCGATGCCAAAATAGAGCGGGAGGTGCCAATAATAGAAAGCCAATACAAAGTCTAACCGCTTACTGGGGCGGCTCGGGAGCCGGAAAGCATTCCTAGCCAGGCACTTCCCAAGATTCGGCTGCGGGAGCCGACGCGCGAAGCTCTTTGTTGAGGCTTTGTGAATCGGGAAGCTGAATGGACAGTGGGTGCCAACTCCACCCGAATACATTGCCTCTGGGGGGCGTGGACGAAAGGTAGGGCAGCCTGCGCAACGTGGCCTGATGCCGAGGATGCCCAATGGCAAGCATCGGGCCGCCATTATCAGTCTCACGGTATATCCGATGAAAGCAACAGAGAGACCGGTGTAACTTCGAAAACTCAATTGGGCTGGGGTTGTTGTTGAGTGGTTGGCTGGCCGCCCAGGTGGCTGAACCAGCCAACGCATCGTGATGCAAATCTTCTGCATCCGTTAGGCACGAGTTTGGCACTGGGCTCCACAGGATGTGCACCTCGCATGCCAGCCTGCATGCGCGCTAGGTCCCGTGTCCTTCTGTCCGCCTTTTCCACAGGCAAGGGAAATCCTGGCCATACCCAAGTGACCTGAAAGCAAAAGCATTCATGAGACAAGGTGGATTGTGCTTGTCTGCCGTTGGCGGCGGTAGGGGGCGTCTGAATCTCCATGCAAGGCCGCCATTGCTAGTCGCCGAGTCGCACACAGAGACCAGGGCCAGGCTTGAATACGGACGTACATTGGGAGTGATGTCAGCAACGAACAGGGGACATGCTAGACTCAGAAACGGACAGGGTTCTGAGCTATAACAGGGGCTTGTCGCAGAGAGATGTTCGCGCGGTCGAGATGCTTTCTAAGAGCCATCCAAGATCATGACTGTTTCGCGCCTACTGCTCTTGCTACTGGCAAGTAGTGCATTGGCATGACTTCGGCAAACAATGAAGAAACAATGACTGGTGTACAGAGAGTCGGGTTGGCCACAAGGCTCGTAGCAGCAGGAGTATTCTCCACCGGATTGAAAGCGGGATGTCTGGTCCCATTCCACTTCCCGTCGACGTTGTAGCGCAGAGAGTCGTTGGGTTTGTTTCTGCCAAGCATGATGGGGTTAGGCTCTAAGCAGGGGGCTCACAAAGCTACCAGTCAGTATTCATGGGGTTATTAGCGCAACTGCTGCACTTTCAGGACGTACGAGTATGCTGCCTTCACCCCCCTTGTTTGGGAGACTTGTAGCTACTGCGTAAATTGCGGTCTAGAGGTGCTGAGAAAAGAGAAAGGGGCTGGCCTGCGAGGAGAGTTTCTGGTCTACCGGTCCTCTGGGTCAATAATATGGCAGATAAACGCGGAGCCTGCAGATTAAGCGAAGTATGCCTGAAAGTGCGAAAGTCAAAGAAAAAGGCCGAAGCTATGATAGTCGGCAATCGGAGGGGGCCGCCTGGCGGACCGAGCCCGTTGTGCATGTCATGCAGGGCTGGAGGATGATTGGAGGAAGGGAAAGAGGAAGCGGCGGCAGTGTCGACGGCGCCAGAAAAGGACTGGCCATACTAAATTGTTAAATTGCGGCTGGGGGTGGAATATTGGGCCGTAGGACGTGTCAATTGATGGACAGTGTTAGTGAATGGGGGCGTAGACACTAACTGTCATGGAGAACCAGGATGATGTAGCTTGTTTGCTGCTGTTGCAGTCTGTGCGCTGTTGAGGGCGGGCTGTGTCTGGTGATGAAGCAATCGGCAGGTTGGATGTGGGATAGGAATCTCGGACATGGCCGAAAGGATGTGAGCAAACCGATGGAACAAGCGGCGTCGGATGGCTAGCAGATAGATGGACAATGGTGATGACCCAGACGGTATGCCAGGCAAGGGGGCGTCTCTCTTGAACGGCGGGCGAGACAAGAGAGACACGGTAAATGGCCAGCTGGCATTTGCAGTGCAAGACCGGGGGTCCAAAAACTGGGGCGCTCCCGCTGGGCGGCTGCAGGTTACCGATTTGCATCGTCTCGCCCGCATGAGAATTTCATCACGTGAGGAGACGGCGACGTGACCAGACCCATTTTAAATGAAGGACTCGGGATTAAATTAAAATGAACGAATGACAACAGACAACAATCCCAGCAAGGGGCCTAGGCCAGCCGTGAAGATGGTCCAGTCCATGTAATATCACATCATAATAGGCGGAACGGGCCATGGGCCGCCGTTAGGCACCGAAAGGTGGGGGAAAAGGAGACAATAACATCACAGTGCCAGCAAACAGTATGGGGTGTGTACTTAACACGGTACCAGATGATTACGTCCCCAGCATGCAGGATGGGTGACGACGACTTGCTTGTCTGTGGCAGGAAAAAAAAGGAACCATCGTGTCTAGATTCTTGACTTGTAGGTAGAATTTGACTTGGGAAAATGCGGCATAATCCGCCCTCATATCTCTCATATCTCAGCTTCGCTGGGCCGTGCCTAGGCCGCACCACCCACACCTCCCGGTGAGGAGAGCCCACTCGCTATACTACGAAGTACAGGTTGTCTACAGTAACCTGTAGCTATCCTCTACTAACTAATCAAGAATCTTTCAAGAGTATCACGCAAGGTGATTTTAGTGAGAGAGTAGTAGAGGCTCGGTCTATTTTCAGCTATCCCATCCCGCGTCTATATGTTACCGATTTGCACTAAGCCAGACCCCTAATGCATTGCTGCCTTGCAGTCCTGTCTCGGCAGTTGCCATTTCAGCCCAATGATGGATGAAAATGTGGTATGGAAGTGCATGGCTGCGAAAACTCTTTCCAACTCGAGGAAACACATCACCTTTCATCCGGCGCTTTGATTCGTTGCCGCACTCCTCTCTCTTCTCCAGCCCGGCTGCAAGCCACCATCAGCGGTGAGCAAGCCCCTGTGGCTTGATTAGTGGCTCTCCAACTCCCTCCCTTTTCCTGCTGTAACTTCGGCTCCAGCTGGCCCACCGCTAGTCGCGGGTTCAATGCCGTAATATTTTCTTGGGTATCTTGGTTATTCACAAACTATAACTAGACTCCATATCACAACCTCGGAGGCGCCTGTAAGAACAAAGAACCTGGACGGATTATTGTCAAGCCAGACAATGCAGATGGGCAGAGAGCTCATCGCTGTCTGGGGTTAGCCCCACTGTGTGCCGTCACTAGCCTACCAGACGCGAATCGCCTAGACAAAGGGCCATAGTGCTATGATGATCCAGATACCTTGCTCAGAAAAAAAAAAAAAGTAACAGAACTGTCACACCCTAATAAATTATTTATTCAAAGTCATATGCATTAACGGGATTGCAGGCGCTTGCATTACCCAGTACACCGCACCTTGACTTTGTATCCGCTTGCACAATGTGATAGCGTGTCTGTCGCCTTCTCTACCTTGTCAGCATCTTGGATCTTGGGCAACATAGAAACAAACGAGACTTTGCTAGAAGGCGCACTAGCCTGGCCACGTTACCAGTGGCCCTTTTCGCTTCTTTCTTGCTCACCTTCTCAAGATGGATGATACGCTACCTAGTACTGTCTTTGTGGAGAATCCACTGATTGAACTGGCAGTCTGCAGCTTATGGGGGTAACGCTGCCATGCGATAGGTGACCTGTAGCCTGCAGGCCAACTTGTTCGGTACCGTACCCGCGGTTTCCCTGCACTGATCAGTGAAGGCATCAGTGACGATTGAGACCATACTGGTAAGCACATTGAAGAAGTTTCTTTTTCTCGAAATATCGCTCAAAAACTTGGTGTGAGACTTCTGTCGGTGTGAAATCTGCCGGCTCTAACTCGTGTTGTCTCATTCGCTTGTGTGAACAGACAGACTCTGGGGTCAGCTAAAAATATCATGTGGCTAATAATCTGAATCTGTGTGACTTCCGCCGAGTGCGTTAGTACACGACTTTACACTTTGAATTGGGTGCTGTCATTGGCCGGTAAGGCGAATGCAACGTCTGAATCATTGCCGCGGCATGTAAAATCCTGCATAGCGTGGAAAGTCGCCTTCGCCTCCAGAAAAGCATTCGGATGGCAACTGATGCCGTCGCCGAGACGGACCATGGCCCGGGCCGATCAGTCTGGTGCCTGCATGTCAACTCGATAACTAGAAGGTAATCTAGCTGGAATCCGCCGGTTGTCAGCCGAGCTTGCTTCTGGTGCTGGGTTGTCCTTGTTTCTTCACACTGAGTAGACGCTTGATTCGTACTGATGCCGTAAAATTCTTCTTCGGACACGACCTGCGAGCCCCCGAAAATTGGGACTTTAA